GCAGAGCGCACGGGTGCCCGGCGCTGGCTCTGCCGGGCCGGGGTCCCCCGCGGTAACCCCGTGGCATTTCCACCCGTGCTCCTGTGGGCTTCGCGGGCCTGGAGCGGGTTGTTCTAGCACTGACGATGTCTGGGACTGATGCGGCAATGGCCCGAGCCGTTGCTGCGCAGCTGGTGTGCACGGAGGAGCGCAGAAGCCATAAAATACACGAGTAAAGCTTCCGATAGAATCACAAGTGGCCACGCGTACGCAAAGGGGAGAGCAGCTTGTCCGGGGGTCCAGCACAGGCAAAGCTTAACCAAGCTGGCAGAGCCGAACCTAGAACAAATCTTACAACTACTACATACACGTGCCGAGTTCAAGCGTTCCTTGCTGTTGTTACATCACGGAGGTTTTCCCCAGGTCGTACAACAGCTTTACAGAATAGCGCGGAGGCGTTACTGGTGAGCCCCCATTGCCTGGCAAGTTCATAACGAGTGTTTTGCTTCTTCAGAAACAGGTCATGGGGTAAAGGCCCAACCTTCGCCCAAGTCTAGGTGGGAAGAGCTAGGTTTCATTTTTTAAACGCCACTGGAAACATTTGATGGAACGAGTCATAAACCCCAAGGTTTCCAATGAAAGCGGTGAGAACCAGGAGGAAGGTGTCCCAGTTGCCTGTGAGCTAATGGCGATAGTGTAAAATGCGAACGGTTGTACTCCTTTGTGGTGAAAGAGTTCAAGTAAAAAGCAGCGTTGGAAGCTGGTGCAGGAAGCTTGTGCACAAAAAGCCAATCAAGCGCAAAGGGCAAATCCTGCCAACTCAGGGCACAGTTGCCATTCTCAACAACATGTTTTTACTCATCTGGGTTAGAGACTTTGGTCCAGTGTTCATCTTCTGGTAAATCAGCTGTGTTTGGAACCCTGCGAGACACATGACAGGGTCTCCGAGAACCTGAAGTACTCCCCAGACTTGACTTTTTTCTGCTAATAGGTTTGTGTCCTGCCAATACCAGACAACTTCTAAAGGACCGCTAGACACAGAGAGACAGAGGTGAATATTTTAAAAACTGAAGATACTTGGTTTGAGAAAAGCCATAGAGATAATACCGGGGACTGTTAGATGCAGTGTTTGCATGTTTCTGGGCCTGGCATCACCTGACCAGAGAAATTAGTACCCAAGCTCTCATGGCAATTCGTTTGGAATGAGATGGATGGTATTTCTCGAGCTTCCAGGGTTAGATACAATGTAATACAATGCTGTCAAAACTGGATCAATATGTTCCTGTGAAGCCAAAGTCCTCTTAGACAACGTATCAATGGTTTCTAGTTAACCATACTTCTCACAATCACCTTTTTTTTTTTTTTTCCCCACAAGGTTACTGCTGCCAACAGTTTTTCTCATGAAATTGAAAATTTCCATTTAAGACAAGCCATCCAAAAGAAGAGTATTCAGGTTTGCAGTCAATATGATATAATAACAGATACACAACTCTTAATATGTAAACTAGGACACTAAATACACTTCTTTATCCAATAGCAGATAGATTCTTATCAGTTAGATAGTCTACGTCCTCTACACCGTACAAAAAGGACCTGGGTTATCACCACCATTGATGTTCAAGAGGATGACAAAGGACCATTCCCAAAATACGCTGGACAGGTACAACCAACCTTTTAGTAAAAGTTCTTCTTGAACCTCAGTAAAGTATTCATCACCACAGACTGTACAATAAGATACCAAAGGTAGGAGAGGGCAAGACTTGTGCATCAAACAGCAACTTTTTAAAAAACATATTTGTTCAAAGCTGTCTTATTTACAGAGTTGGGTAGAATTGTGTGGTGGGGGGGTATATTGCTCCTTTCTGTGGGAAGCTGCAGGCATACTCAGGGGAAAGACGACTGTAGAGTGGGAGAGGTAAGAGAGTCATTGCACCGAGCTGTGTGCCTGCACATTGTGCAGAGTAGTGATGCTGCACCCCAGAAAGCTGTTGAATTAGCTGAGACCAAGCCCGCAAGCAAGGCCCCATCTACAAAGGGAAGGTGGGCAGGAAGGGAATTGGTCTAAAGTCTTTTCATTTCTGTTCTGTCTTCCCTACTCACGCTGCATTGTGCTGGTTCTCTTTTCAAAAGCTCTTCAATAACAAATCATTTAATGCATCAACAAAATATTTAATCAGTGGACCTGGGGTAGATGAACCTCCAGAGATTGGATTGTTTTCTATAGAAGATGATGCAAATGGACATGTGTATGTACAGCGTGCCATTGACAGGGAAAAGACTCCAAGTTTTCAGGTAACACGCTTTAAAAAAATACTTAAAACTGTTTGCAAATATTCATTGCTTTCTCATAGCTAAATGCTTCACAAGAATGAGACGTACCTGGAAGAATTTTAAGTGTGTATTTTTATGGCCTCCTTTTCTTATTTTGAACCTCCAAATAAATGCTAAAATGATTGTCTCAGCAGAGTCCAATAGGTAACTTCCACATGACTATCGATTATAAATCTCTGTGGCATGTTTGGACTTCCACAAATATCAGTACACTTTTTTTTTTCTATCATCTTTTTGGTATGACCCTTGATCGCAATCTGAAAAAATGAAAAGGTGGTCCTGAAATTCAAAGTACGCTCCAGCTATACTGGCCAGAACACTGAGTTGTAAAGCCAAAAGCTCCTAATCAAGAGAATGGAAGCAAATAGTTATGCATTACAAAAAACAGATAATGCTGGAGGAGCTGCAAAGCTGTATTACTGTAACTTTACATAAGAGTAAGCATATGTTTCTCCTTAAAAAGCAGAAAAGTGTTCATAAGCAGTAAGTGTAATGAAAGAAATGTGATAACAAGTGTATGAATGAAATATGTGAGTGTGGGTTTGTTTTCTTCTTGCAAACAATCTTAAGTTGTGGTCTCCTTACTTTTATTCTGTGATGATTTCTATTTGTGCCTCTGTGGATTAACTGTACCCAATTAATAGTCACTGTTCCATGTGGCTTTCTGTCTAAGGTCTTGCCTTCCATAATAAAAAGATAAATTTTGGAAAGCTTTCTATCCCCCCTCACTGGACACACGGCTGTTCCAGGGCAGACACTCTGGGCTTGGTTTTGAAGCAGAAATAAGTGTAGCAAAGGAGAATTCAGCAATCAGAATTGAATCGCCTGCACAGTCATGGATATGGAGCCAAAACATCATAGAAATGCAGCTAGAGAAAACTGGATGTCCTACTTAAATAAATACTTCAGAATTGGGAGATGCATTTTAAAGCATTCTTTTGTTTGGCCCCAAGGATACTTATGTATTTTATATTAGGCAGTCTTTTCAAATAATGCAGATACAGCTCCAGGTACTGATTTTTTAAAAAGTGTTGTTCAATGCACAGGATGACCATCATGAAGCTACTACCTTTGAAAGGTGAAATAATGACTTAGTGATGCAACTCAAAGCCAAATGCTAGCCAAATATGACTCAAGCAGCTTCAAAATTGAAAGTATTTTGCTCCATCCTGATATCTAAATGATACCATTCATTCCATTCTGATATCTGTGTTGCTACTCATTTAGGTACGTTTTGATATTGTGTCCAGAAAAACTGGTGAACCATTGGACCGCCCTTTATATTTCAAGATAAGGGTTAAAGATATTAATGACAATGCACCTGAGTTTCCTAAGGAGGAATATAGCGTTACAGTAAGAGAGAACCATAGTAAAGGTAAGTGCTATCTAAACAAGGGATACTACTGGTTTGTGTATGACTGCCCTCTTAATTCCTTTTCGTTCTTTTTCCTTTCTTAGTAAATCTGTTCTTCTCCCTAGGTTTTACTACAACACTCATAGTTTTAGGGAGTACCTCCTACCTCTTGACTTCTTGTCTGATTAACTTCAATTACATTAGCATAACATTGGAGACATTCTAATATCCTAAGATATTTTTTCTTAACTACAAGCCAAGACTTTAGCAGACTAATCTGAACTGTGGATCTGGAACCTGCACATGCACACTGCTTCACAGAAGATGGTCAGACACACTGTTTTAGAAATACAAAGACTTCATCTGGGTGTGTAGACATGTGGGCATGGTGCCAACTCCTCAGGAGCTGGCATAAATAACTAGCGAATGTTTTTGATTAAGTTCAGGAGTGTGGTACCTCTATTGTCTAACAGTACTTTAGGCAGATTTGCCACCCAAATGAGGTGGTGGCAGGAGTCTTTGCAGGGATAACCATAGCCACAGGAGAGGTTAGAGGTTTTCATGGGACTTGTGTGTTCAAGAGCCTGCAGACAGGCCTGAGAAACTCCATGTCGAGACTAAAGACTTCTAGTAATGTCTCAATTTTTCATCCTAGATGAGCCAGTTTTCCAAGTTACTGCCTTGGACAAAGATGAAGGTGGCACTGTGAATTCTCAGGTGTCCTATTCTCTAAGTATGCAAATGCCCCTTCAAGATGGGTTCACATTTAATGTTGATCCTACCACAGGATCAGTACTTCTGTCAAGATGCCTGGATTATAAGGTGATGTGCATATGGCAGCTTCTTATCATTTAATGCATGATACATGTTCACTACATGTTAACCAGGGGAGGTTATAAGGGGAAGGAGAGTCCCACATCCAGCTTTGTAGCTGTGACTGGCAAAATGCGTGAACTGCTTCTGAACTAAGTTTGGAACTTCCTTTCTTCTGTTTTTCAGACTGCCAACTCTTTCAAACTTCTGATTAAAGCCAGTGACCATGGAAGTCCCCAGCTGTCATCTACTGCAACAGTGAATGTAGCTGTTGAAGATGCAAACAACCACCTCCCTGTATTTACTGGTGATAATGTAAGGGGAAACATTATTACTTTACCTAGCCTTTCTAAATACAGTTCAGTCTTTCAGACTGCTGAATACACTCAGCAGTGGAAATGGGAACCCTCAGATACTTGCAGAATCAGGCCAAAACATGTGCAAATGAGCTTTATGTGTTAGAAGAAATATCTCTTTAAAATGTGGGCAGTAAGAGAATGCTTTACTATTGACTGTGATAAACTTTGTTAGTTTTCTGTGTACAGCTCTAGAAGGTTTTTGTCTCACTGTTAGCATAAGGATGCCGACAGATTAGCTTATTCTAACATCTGAGAAGCTAAGGTGCTGATTACAGTCTACTCTTGAAAGATCCTAGTTTTGATCCAGGAAGATCTCAATGGCCCCAAACCTGCCTGCCTACAAACTCAGTACATCTTAATGGGGCACTTGGGTGTGGTGGCAATGCTTCTGCTGTCGTATTTTGTGAAGCTGCTTGCGGAGCATTTGCTGTATGAATGGGAGCAATTGAGCTTGCTGGCAGGAAGAGGGCTCTGAGGAATTAAGAGCTGTGAACAGGTAGACAGCTACACTTGAATTCAGGTAAGAGCTATCCATTTTCAGGCTCTGGTCCCATTAATAGCTCAGGTCCCAGAAAGACTGTTTGTGTAATTTGCATGTTGACGCATTGCTGTGGTTTAACCCTGGCTGGCAGCTGAACACCACACAGCCACTCTCGCTCACTCCCCTGCAGTGGGATGGGGGAGAGAATTGGAAGGGTAAAAGTGAGAAAACTTTTGGGTTGAGATAAAGACAGTTTAACAAGTAAAGCAAAAGCCACATGCACAAGCAAAGGAGAACAAGGAATTCATTCACCACTTCCCATGGGCAGGCAGGTGCTCAGCCATCCCCAGGAAAGCAGGGCTCCATCACGCGTAATGGTGACTTGGGAAGACAAACGCCATCGCTCCCAACGTCCCCCCCTTCCCCCTTCTTCCCCCAGCTTCCCGTGCCGAGCGTGACGCCATACGGTGTGGAACGTCCCTTGGGTCAGCTGGGGTCAGCTGTCCCGGCTGTGTCCCCTCCCAGCTCCTTGTGCCCCCCAGCCTGCTCGCTGGTGGGGTGGGTGAGCAGCAGCAAAGGCCTTGGCTCTGGGTGAGCCCTGCTCGGCAGTGAGGAAAACATCCCTGTGTCATCAACGCTGCTTCCAGCACAAATCCAGAACACAGCCCCATAGGAGCTACTACGAAGAAAATTAACTCTATCCCAGCCAAAACCAGCACAAACACCTAGAGTGCAGAGTCATGTCAAGCACTGGTATGTGTAAATATTTGATGTTGTGAACAGTAAGAATGGCTACCGGTTTACAACAGTGGGTACACCTATGAAAGTAAACACACTTAGCAGTGTGTTACTATGGTAGGTCTCCTACCTGCAGAATGGTGTTTGGAAGACCTGAGGGAATAAGGTTAGATAATCTGCCAAAACAGGTTTGTACGAGAAATCTGTGCTTCATCGTCATTAACTCCAGTCTAGTAAAATTCTGAGCCTTCTCACAGCTGTGATTTGTTCCCTCTATCTGAGTACATGTATTATTCTTTACAGCATTTTTAAAACTGATGCAAGGACAGTATTGTTTACATATTAGAAGGCAAGAGTCTTGAGTTTTCAGATCTCAACCAGTGACCAACTTATATGAAGAAAATAAACACAAATTACATTTTATTAACATCTCATCTTTTAAGACATATTTCTGCCTTAGGTGATTTAATTGGCATTTCTTAGCCTGTCTTTGGAGTGCTAGTTAGGCAAGCTGGTGGCTACATTGCACTGACAAAAACTTAAACCATTGTGAAGAAATTACCTAAAATCTCACACATACTTGCTTTCTACAAGGTCCAGGTATATAACATCTGCAGACTAGTTCTGGCCTAAGCCTGTATGCACCAATCTCTTCTACATGGCAGAAGACAATCCTGGATGAAAAGCCCTAGTGGCATTTATGGGCCTATTGCTATAGTCAATATTAGGAGAGATGAGTAGTCTCCTGGTTTTTGATGAAGATCAGGTTTAGTAATAAGTTCTTTATGAAGTCACTGGGAATGTGTTGGAGGAAAGTTAGTTCTGTAACTCCCATAGGGATTCTCTGTCACTGAGTGGGTACACGTGAACCACCGCAGGCAATGACAGTGTGTGCAGAAAGTAGCTCCACATGGTCTGATGGTAGAACTCTGGCTCAGAACTGGATAACAAGCTTCTTCCTCTTGGAGAATAGAAATAGTCCTTATTTCTTTTCTTTCCTCTTCCAGTACCAGCTACAGATTTCAGCAGGTCAAGAAAATTCAGCTGCATTACGGCTCCAAGTGGAAGATAAAGACTCTCCCAACACTCCAGCTTGGAGAGCAAAGTACAGAATAACAAAAGGCAATGAGAAGGAACAGTTCACCATTGAGACGGATCCAGACACAAATGAAGGCATCTTGCGTATTATCAAGGTGAGGAGCAGTAGCAGGTGAGCTACAGGATGACAATGTGTAGGGTGGCCAGTCTGATTACAAGCGTGATAGCTTAGCATCTTAGCTGAGTTTGGTGAGCTCAGCTTACCTCTGAATTCCAGGTATATAGAGGTGACTGCCAAACCAAGGGTCATAACTGCTAATCAGACTTTTGTCTGGGGTTTTCAGCCTCTCAGCTATGAAGATGACTCTGAGATGAGACTTGTCATTTCTGTAGCAAATGAAGAACCTTTCTTCTTGTGTAAGAATGGCATTGTGACAATCTCAAGCCAAGAATCCATGAATACAACTGTTAACATCAAGGTCTTACAGTCACAACGTGCTCCTAGGTTTCATCCTCCTATACTTATTGTCCAAAAAGAAGATTCAATGAAGCCTGGGAGAGTATTTAGAAGGTATCCTGCCACATATCCAGATGATGTGCCAAATAAGATAAAGTAAGTGAGATGCTTCTAACTTTCAGAATAAGAAATAGCTTAGGAATATAAAGAGGTTTTCAAGTTTAATTTGGTATATGTATATATATGAATATACACACACACATATATTTACAGTTAGATGAACATATACATTAGAGGCGCAGGTTTACTATTGATTATACTGCAGATCCAGATAGCTGGTTCTGTAAGATACAATATAAAGGTGCAGACATTGGTTGCTCAATGTTTCTGTTGTCTTCAAAATAGTTTTGCCTAAACCCAGGTTGCATTATTTATATTTTACTTTTGATGACAAAATTTTGATGCTGTAGAAAGGACTAAGGTATGCTTGGCTGTAAGAATGGTAATCTGATGTGGAAATTAGATACTTTCTTAGCCCCTAGGAACAGTTCTGATGGGCCTGTACAAGGTATGGGGACTTGTATGGGGAACTGTTGGCTGTGTTGAAACACACAGCTTGTCATAGAGTTAACAAAAGTAAGCATTATAACAAGTAAAAATACCTACAGAGCTCAAGAGAACAAAGAAAGATGCAGTAGAAATTTTCTATTCTTCAAAATGCATTTAAGATGGTAACTTGTAACTTTTTCCTTTCTTTTTAAGATATGAATTAGCCCACGATCCAGATGGTTGGCTGAGCGTGGATGAGAATTCTGGAGTTCTTACTGTGGCAAAAGAATTTGATCAAGAATCCCCTTATGTGAACAACAGCCTGTACACCATTATCGTTCATGCTGTTGATCCTCGTAAGTAGCCAGTCGGAAAATATTCAAGCAGTATTTGGACTGTTTGAGATGAGGTGCATGTTAGATATGAAATGATAGCAAGACTAAGGATCTAAGTGGAGAATGGTAATGCAGAACACCCTAATGTTTAAAACTTGTGTTATGTGTGACTAGTAGGATAAACCAGACAGAGATCCTGCCAATGGACTGGCTTTTGTCGATACCCATTTGCGAGTATTTTTGTTTCTTTTGCTCCCATCTAGGTATTCCCCCACAGACTGGTACTGGCACCATCCTGCTTTACTTGTCTGACATGAATGATCATATGCCAACATTAGTGGCTCCTTATTTAGATGTGTGTGACAAAAAAGAAGGGATGCCTCTCATTATAAGAGCTAAGTCTGCTCTGGTCCATTCACGTTCTGGGCCATTTACATTTGAGCTGGCTGAAGACACTGAAGATGTGAAGCATAACTGGAAATTAGGAGGGAACTTTGGTGAGTTACTCCTTTCATGTCCTTCGTGAGAGTTCATTGTCAGTTATGTGCCCTCTGGTTATTTCACTGTCTCTTACCTTTATGGTTTCTTACTGATTAGTCTCAACGAGACTGAAAGTACATGGAAGAACAGCTTTCAAAATATAAAGTTACTGCAATTTGAAAAAAAGTTACATTGTTCTTCCTCTCTGCTGAGGACAGGGCCAGAAGCAATGTGCTCAAATTGCAGAAAGGGGGATAAGACAGCTGAGGAACAGCTTCCACATTTTATTAGCTACCTAATGAATTCTAGAGGTTATCAGCACAGCTATGCCAGAATGTAGCAAGACTGGGACAGATCTCTTTGCCCAGAAGGCTCAGCAAGGTGATAAAGTGGGATGTCATTTTGTCCTATTTACTATGGTGCATTAAGGCTAGAAAAAGTATTCGAAATTGGGGTGCAAATGAGTTTCCCTTTGATTATCAGCAGAAGGTACTGTAGAATATCAGACTTCTTTCTATGAGTCTTGAAATAATTTGCTTGTCGTCTTTTTAGGGGAGTCAGTTGAACTTTTAATGTTAAAAAGCCTCCCACAAGGTAGCTACTTGGTGCCTGTCATTATTCAGGACAGTCAAGGATTTTCTACAAGGCAGAATCAGCATGTCAGGCTCTGCTATTGCCCAGATGGACACACATGTAAAGAGTCACCACTTCCACAAGCAGCAGTGAGACTTGGAGGTGGTGCCATTGCAATAATACTGACAGCTTTCTTATTACTACTGGGTAAGTAACCTCCTAACTTATGCGTGTGAGTTATCTGTCATCTGCCCATTGGATCTCATTGCAATTGCAGCTCATGAGCATGTGCTAAAATCTACCAGCCTTAACAGGAAAGGCTGTTTGCCTTAATGTGTTAGAGTGCAGTCAAGGTGCAAGCAGTTAATGCTTGCACTCTTTGCGGCACTTCCATCCATGTGTCCTGGTCCATGACCTGTTCTCTCTTCAAATTTCAGGAAGAACTTAGTTTTGCAACACAAGACATTGCCATTTCCATCTAGTAACTGAAGAGATCTTTTTTGATAGCCAAGAAAACTTTCAAATTAGTAGGCACTATGATACAATGTGTAATGCAGAGGAAGGGTGTCTCCAAGGCTGACAACACAGGGTAAAAGACACTAGAAAGATTAGTGAAACTTATCTGCACTTATCTGTGGGGATGTGAAAAGGTGAGGACTGTGTATTATAGAGCAGTGAAAAAGGGAAGGTAACATAGATGCATGGAATACTATTGTATGAACAACAATAAATACAAGTATGTAGCCTAGGAAAAAAAGAAAATGTCTAAACTGAAACAAAAGAAATGTAATGTTAACAGGTGGAATTTTTCAGCTTGTTACTTGTGAAAATCATGATTACATTGTGGTAGAAGACAACTCACAAATGTAAATGTGTCATTAAGCTGAACTCTAGTACAACAAAGTAAATATTCTTGTTTGTATTGAATAGAATTGAATGCTTGACTTTTTTGACATTAACCATGTACTGGCTAATTGAAGTAATGAATTTCTCCCATAGGGTTACACTACTTAGCAATTGCAATTGCTTGGCATAGATCTGTAACAGCTCATGTTGGTTACTGCTGAAGAGATGAACTACCAATTCTTTATCTGAAGCAAAAATCAATAGATTATCTGATCACTATTCCTCTGGTTACCTGTGAATGATGTAGTATGTCTGCCAGCTCAATGCAGTGCTCTGTGGAGATAACAGCTTGGCTTTTTAAAGCAGGCTAACCACTCCAGGCCAAGCATTGCATCTGCACAGCTACGCTGCTGGAAGTTTCTGAGTTAGCTCATTTGGAACTGGGCTGGGTACCTCACCAACCCACTGTATTGAGCCATACAGATCTATTCACAATGCCCATTTCTCCATTTCCTTTCATGTTTCAACAGTTTCCAGTATACTACTTTGCCTGTTTTACGTATGGGGATCTAAAAGCAAAGCCATTGTTCCACCTCAAGAAGGTGAACAGACTTTAATCAACTATAATGAAGAGAGCAGAATGTCTTTATCTCAAGTAAGTGCAAAAGCATATATTCACATTACCCCACCAGTGTTGTGTGGCTGAATCTAGTCATCTCTTTTATCATGTTTGCTGTGGTTTTGGTATTGAGCAAAATAAAGCTTTTTTTGCCACTAAGCGTATCTGGGGCGTGGTGTTCTGCATGAACTGGATAATGCTACCCTGGTGACAGACTATTACCACTCCTACCAATTTTCAGTATCAGCAGGACCTTCCCAGGTGCCTCATCCTACTGATGAATCCAACAGATGAGGAGGCACATCATCTCTTGTCACACTGCACATAGTAGAGTTTTCAACAAGGAAGTAAATGAAAGTGAAAAAGGGAACAGTCTGCAAAAGTGTGATCCTTCACAGCCTAGTTCAGTTTCTTATTAATACCATCCCTCTCCCTGTGTGCAGGCTAAGCTGGATATTACAGACCATGCTGTTCTACCCCCTGTGTCTGTGGAGGCTGGAAAAGAAGTGGTTGCTGAGGTAACTGCCTGTTTCCTTATGTAAATGCCCTTTTTTATACCACAGAAATAGGTAATCCCAAGAATGAGGTTTGGTATTAATAACAGTGGGAAGAATAATGCAATATAGTTCAATCAGAAAACCAGTGTCACTTGTTGGAGATTCCACTTGTATTTAAAATACCGCTGACAACTTTTTTTCTAACAGCTTTCAGTTTGAGACTGGCACTTCTTTTCATTAGTTAATTGTTCTAAATATTTGGAAGTTCCAAAATTCTTATCACAGTACCTGAGTTGATATGCACAAGATTTTATTTAATTCTTGGCATAAGTGAAAGGGAAGCATCATTCTTCAGATATCTGTCAAAAACATGCTAGTCAACATCTTCTACTTAACATACTGTAAAAGTGTGGACAGGATTCATGAGTATTTTTATGACTATGAGATGTACTTCTGGGGGTTTGAAGGCTTTTGAGTTTGTTCTGTGGATTTTTGTACTGTATTCTCTAACAGATGTCTATTTTTATTGTAAAGAATGCCTGAAGGAAATTCTGGTCTACATCAGTAGGTGACTGCCATGTGTTCTGTTCATAAGTCCGTAGTGATCATCAAGAGACTCTAAGAACAATCTCTGTCTTACAGCAGGCAAAGAAAATGTAAAATAGTCTTTTTTATGTATGTGAGAACCCAATTCCACAATCCTTAAGACCACAGTTAGGAGCTAGAATTACCTGTGTGAGTAGACACTATAAAGTTCTAAGGTCATATTTGGTGCCGTTAATGAAAAGGAAGCCAATAAATTTAGAGGAAGAAACGTATTTAATTACTGGAGATTATGAAGAATGCCCACAGTTGGTGACTCCATGGAGTATGTACTCATAAGAAGAAACAGTTCCCAAAACAGAAAAAGCTGCAATGTAACTGGCAAAGACGGCACAAGAGAAATGGATATAACAGACAGAAAGATAATTGGATTTATTTGTATCTGAAAGAAATGTTAGTAGGTGACTTTATGCTGGTCAAAGCTGAGATACTATGTGTCTCTTCCAGGATGGCCTGTATTCTAGCTACGAGGCATTCCAAGGAAGACACCTTGCAATCATCATACAGACAGTGGACAAAATACTGGATCAGGTGAGAAATGAATGTTGAATCCCTCCTTTGTCAAGTTGGCTTGAAAGAATAGGAAAAAAGGCTTGCAAAACTGGAAAGCTGCTATGGCTTCAGCTACTCTTTCAGCCCACATCTAAGCAGCATTACTATCAAAAGCAAGCGATGTATTTGATGGGGAAACATTCAAGACACTTCCCTGTTGAAAATGCCTTGTCTCCTCGACTTCTTGCTGCCTCTGGCTGCTCAGCCAGCAGTTACTGCAAGGCTGGGGTCGGTCACCTGTAACAAATTCTTCAAGACTGGGAAGTGGGGCTAAAATGCTTTCTGTTTCTGTGCAGGGTTAAGGTTCGGTTGCCTGCTCTTTCACTTTTGTGCTATCGGGGAAATCCTAGTTCCTCTTGCCACATCCTGTCTGGCCACTGCATGTTTGCACGCCTGTCCTCCCATGCCTCCTTGGGGCAGGCTGTGTGCCTCCATGCAGTCATGTTACTTGATAGCTGTCTGGTCCAGGACAGATCAAATGCTCTTTCTGCCTCGTGTGTACTCTAGGGGAAGTTCAGGTCTGGTGCTTATGCAGCTGAGAGTTTCAGTAAAACTTTCCTTATCAGAGAAAGACTCATACTCTTCACTCTAACCTCCTGGCTTACCTGCCTAATTTGCATACCATGAATTCCTTTAATTTCCAAAGGGTCAGTAGGAGCTTCCATGATGATTTGCATTGTTTCTTCCCTTCTTTAGAAACTGTATCACCAAAGCACACTGGAAGATCACAGGGCCATCTATGAACCTTGCAGATATGCTGAGGAAGGAGAACTAGAGCGAAGTAACTCCTTCTGCTCTGTCTCCACTGGCAGTGAGGAGTTGCCTGTTGATTTTTTGAACACTCTGGGACCAAAATTTTCTGCTCTGGAAGAAATCTGTCAGAAGCAATTTCCATCATTTGATTAATTTCAAAAGGCTGTGACTACTTTGTGGTGTTGCAAAGGCTTCTGGCAGAATCACTGACAAATTCTGAAAAAAACAACCATCTGCGCTAGAAAGCGTTGCAGTATGTTTGCACCATGACTGTCTGGCCTTTTATTCTTCCTGCCTGTATTGGGTTTGCATGGCAAGGTTTTGGTAGCTGGGGGGCCACAGGGGTGGCTTCTGTGAGAAGCTACTAGAAGCTTCCCCCATGTCTGACGGAGCCAATGCCAGCTAGCTCCAAGATGGACCCGCTGCTGGCCGAGGCTGAGCCAGTCAGTGACAGTGGTAATGCCTCTGCGATAACATATTTAAGAAGGGGGGAGGGGGGGAAAAACCCAACCCAAAACACCAGGACACAAACTGCAGCCAGAGAGAGGAATGAACTGACTGCAACCCCCATTCCCCAGCCCCCTGTGCTGCTCGGGGGGAGGAGGGAGAGAAAATTGGGAGTGAAGTTGAGCCTGGGAAGAAGGGAGGGGTGGGGGGAAGGTGTTTTAAGATTTGGGGTTTATTTCTCATTACCCTACACATGTTCTCACTCCTCTCTCCTACTCAGTTTTGATTGGTAATGAATTAAACTGATTTCCCCTAAGTCGAGTCTGTTTTGCCCGTGATGGTATGGTAATTGGTGAGCGATCTCCCTGTCCTTATCTCAACCCACGAGCTTTTTCGTTACATTTTCTCTCCCCTGTCCAGTTGAGAAGGGGAGTGACGGAGCGGCTTTGGTGGGCACTTGCCATCCAGCCAGGGTCAACCCACCACACTGCCTACACTGTTTGCATGCCTGTGGCCAAGAATGTGACATGTTTGGAAGGTCCACTCTGCTCTGCAGAGATGATGGAGCGATTTTGGCATATTCTGTGCAGTTACACAAATAGAAGATCTGCTATTAAGGAGCCTCAATTTAGTATGCAAAGGAAGAAAACAGATCTACTAGGCTAGAAATTCCAGTCAAAGTTCCATATGGAAATAAGCCAGTTTTGAACAGAGAAGGCAGTTACCAGCTAGGCCAGTGATACAGTCCTTTCTCCAGTAAGCAGTCTCTTTAAATCCAAGATTAACTTTAGTACAGTGCCATGCGGATCTGACTTGATGATCAGATCTTTTATTTCTATATGACACTGAAACATCGAAGAGAAAGTGCATTTCTACTCTTAGTGTGACTGTAACCGCATAATGACCTGAGAGGTCTGCACCATCCTTGCCATTTAGCATAAACCAGGCACTTATTTAGTGCTTGCATACTTCTGCTGGCATCTGGTGGCTGTTAGTATTATTACACTATAGTAAATAGTACTCTAAATGCTAAGAAATTGTTGCCAGAGAAGGAGGTATGGTTATTCCTTTCATTCAAAGACCTACCCTCTCTAAGTTAGCTACAAGTGGCCTTGATGAAGAAATTCATGGGTTTCCTCAAGCATCATTGATAAAACAGATGACATGATAAAGAAAGGATGGTATCAATTTTCCCTATGTGGAAACCACAGATGTGTTGCTTTTAAATTTTGTGATTTGCACATGTCTGAATGTGTGCAATTGACCTATGCTCAGTTACATGACGGTTATCGGTGTTGCAATACATGAATGAGGAAAGAATAGCTCAGAAGATAGTATTCTGCCATTAGGTAAGTTATACAGGCAGTAAGAGATGGAATTAGTCACAAATCTTACATCTGTTCTATTACAATCCTGTGCTAAAAGAAAAATGCTTTGCCTAAGGCAAGCACTAAGTCTGGTATCTAAGACACTGTTCTTCTGTTTCAAAGTTTACTTAAACAATAAATTATGTTTTTGCTCAGATGTTATTAACTAATAATTCAAGGCCGGAAACTTCAGCCAAGTGTGATAAAAGAGTTCGGCTGAATGGCAGGCAGCTAAGTTTTCCTAAATGCCAGCAGCAGGATCTGTTTACACAATAAATCACTACTCTGATAAACTGTCCTTAACTTATAATTCCAGATGGAAGACTTCAAATCAGGCCAGTGATTTAGCAGCACTGCTAATAACCAAGATGACTTTTTTATTGCAAATTATAACCATATTGGTAAGATTAGAATTGTGCTGTGTTTTGCTATTTCTTCTGAAAATTATGCAAGATTAAAAAAAAAATGAAAGTATTCTGTGTGTTTATTGTTCGTGTAAACTTGTGTTGGGTCTACAGCACACCATGCTTACAAATGCCAAAACATTAGATGTGATCAGACCCGCAGTTGCTAATGCCAGAAAAAGTTGTGTCTCTCTTGCATGGGAAAAAAAGAACTGTTTTAATGAAAAGCTGTTGTATAGCAAATGAGAATGTTTCACTGGAGGTTCTTACAATCATATACATACAGGTAGTAACATTCATTATTTCAGTGTCTTCAAGGATTTAGAAGACTTATACACACTAAGCTAATACAGCTTCCCAGCATTGTTGTGAGGTAAAGACGTAGTGTTTACACTTTAAAGAGCAGAAATTAAGGCTGAAAGAGCCCTTTGGTTGACCACAGTCACACAGAGCTTGCAGCAAACTGAGGGATGGCACTTCTCCATTGTGCTCTGCGTGTGTCTTGCCTTTCACCAATAATGGTGACCCCCGCAACAGCTTGTTACGCCATTCCTTTTGACCAGACCTGAAGAATATGCACTCTGCTATGGTCATATCAAAACAGGACAAAAGCTTTAGTATATACAGTCTTGGAGCAAACAGTGATTGAAATAACAAATAATTAAAACCTTCATTTTACAGATAAGGGACTGATGCACAGAAATCATGTCAGCTCCCATAGTCAAAAAGAGATTTGCAGAATGGATCTAGATTTTCAGAATCCCCTTTGGCACTGTAATCATTGAAGTATCATTATATTCATAATTCCTGTCAAGCTCTGTCATTTATGCAATTACCTGGACAAAAAAAATCCCTCCTTTTTCTCACCTCGGATTTGCAATCACAGATTTGGTGCTGTGACACTTGAAATCCCGTTAATGATCACAGTGTTTGTTGATATTTTTATCTAACTGCAGTAGCTGTATATACCATGTAAGTGTGTAATAAGGTGTTCAGTTCATTTGAATAATTGTTCTAATATTTTAAATGTCACTATATGCCTTTTAATAGGAATGAGTTCTTTTATGTAGGAATGACAAAGCATGCTACAAAAACCTAAATAACCACTCAAACTGCTGAAAACTATTACGATCCCTGCTGCCAAAATACGGGCAGGTAATCTGTCGTGCATAAACTGGGGGTGTCTGGACAACAGCAAAACTCAACAGAGGATCCAGAAAGTCTAGCGTTGTAGGTCTGTGTCTCAGTTCTGTACGACAATTACTCCTTTCTCCATCTGTGCATAAGGTTTGAGTTGACATTTCTTCTCAAATAGGAGTGAAGGAAACCTAAATTAGTTTATTAATCTCCCATTGTCTTAAAAACTAGAAACATCTGCTTGAGACACAAGTAACTTTTTAGTGGACTTTGGCAGTAGGGAGGCCCAGGCTGCCGAGGTATACCTTCACTACGACATTACTACAGTCAGAAGAGTTTATTTAGAGGCTGTCATGAGACACAATGATTAATACGTAGTGAAAATGAGGCATAAATCAGAGCATTTCTCACATACATCACCCATTTGCATCAATCACACTTTTAAAAACACTATTGCAGGAAGCTAGGCAGTAAACAGCTCTTAATCCCATGAGGCTGAGGTCTGCCTTAGGAGACAGACAAAGAGGTAAGCGCCTGGAGACAGCACGTTTACTTGTGCCACACAACACACTGAATATTGTGATGATATCCCAGTGAAGCTTTGGGCCTCAGGACTGCTACCCTGTCTCTGCTGAGGGTGCCGGCGAACCATCAGACGCCCAGTCACCGAGGGAGCTCCCATATGCTCACATGAGGGTTGATGCGAGCTCCCTGCCTGACATGCCCCTTCTCTGCCGGTGCCTCGCAGCAAACCTGGGACGAGAGGCTGGACCGTTAGTCAAAGCAATTTGCCATATTTCCTCCCAAGGCCTCTCTGCTTGTGCCTCGCGCCCCCCGCCCTGCCAAGCCTGGCAGACAGCTCGTGCATCGCCTGCAGAACCACACGGAAATCGCCAGTGCTCAGGGGACGACGCCGGGGCAGGAGTCGGAGGAGTGCTGCCTGTGCAAACACAAGTACGTATTGCCGATGGCCTCAGCTTATGCTTTGCTCGCACATAATGGCAGCGGGAGTGTGTGAAGCCTCTGGTTTGTTCAGGGTCTGCTTTAAACTAAGTACCTTCATGGCTTACTGTTTTGTAAATGCTGGTGATGGGCTCTAGTGTTTCAATTACTTGGTCACAGTGAGAGGTCTAATCATGATGCCTGTGAATCCCCATTACTTCTGGCCCCTGCTGTGCCCGAGTCAGTGGGAGTCCCAGCAGCACGAATGTTTATCTCCGCACAATCTTCATCTCTGTCTTTGTTTTGCCTCATTTATAAAAATCTTACTTAAAAGTAAATGACACACTATCAGTAAAGGGGAAATTAATCACACTGGAACCAAACTTCTGACACGGAGTTTTAAAGGAAACAAGAGAGAGTGATCACAGGATGGTCCTACAGAGTGGATGTCAGCACGTCAGCAATAAAACCTTTCGGCTCAGACAGAAAGCATTTTCCCTGTCTGCTATTTCCTCTACTCTGCTGAGCAATGGCAGATCCCCTGGGATCTTTAGGCTGCCACAGAAGGAGTATAAGTTTTAATCAAATCTTTCTGTGCCAGTTTGGGGTCATTTTCTCCATTCTGAAGGATCCATTTGTCCTGATTAAGGTATTACAAGAAGTCATTTAAAGGACAAATAAATGACAAGAGATTTTATAAGTGGAGGGTAAACCACGTGCTGAGTGGGCTATAATCAGTTCCTTCTATTAATGCCTTAGGTGGTGTTGTATTTCACATTCCTAATAATTAAACACTTAGTAACAGAGTGTTGGATTAGTGTTTTAAAAAAAACCCATAGGCCAAGCTGAGGACTTT